TATAAAACTAAAGTTTATTCTATAAATGTGACGAAGGTAAGGCTTTGACCGGGATGTTCTTTTGTTAAATCTTATGTGGTACCGCCTGATTCGACTTCTAATGGTTAAGTGAAGTGTTTTCTTCGCGGTACGGTCTGGATTCGTAAATATTATGAAGACGAGCTTCGGCTTCAAAGGGTTAACCAGCTGATTTTCGTAATGGTGAGGTGTAGTGTTTTCTTCGCGGTACGGACTGAATTCATAAATAATATTCAGACGATCTTCGGCTTCAAAGGGTTAATTAGGCCGATATTATCCTGGACCACGCCCAATGTTTGAGTTGTACGTGATACACACGACGTTTCGGGAGTTCGCTCTATTCCCGTCTTCAGGTGTGTGTTTGTGTGTGTGTACACACACCAAGGATTTTATTATACGAATATGACGTTGGATACTGCCCACTGTTTTAGATTTATCTGAAACGCTTTCCGTTCTAGTGGTAAAATGGCAGAGGAGTTTGCTATACTGGAATACCAGTAAAATAATGTAGTTTACACAAACTCCACTACGGGAATAAATGAATCGTAAATAAAAATAAATTACATCCTACAAATAGATAATATCCAACATAATTTTAGAATAATAAAAAATGCTGTGATTTCGGTTGTGTGCGATTAAAATCAGTTAAAATGTCTGCAAATTTCACACTTCATAAACACTTTCTTTTTCATGTGAATGAAATCACACAGTTCAAATAATACTGAACAATTCGGAAAACAAAAATGCGGCCAGCCATCAGCGTTCGACTCACTGGCTCTGCTAAAACATTCGTTACAGATGTTCAGTTCGCTCAGCAAGCAGGCAGTGGCGTTACATCATTTTTCGCTCGTCAGCCTCCTGCACGCCCGTTCAAAATATGAAATCGCTGTGTCGGTCTGTCTGTACGCACGCAACAAAACGAGAACAGTTAAATTAACTTTCAAAAACATTAAACTGGAGAGGCTTGTGAAAAAATTGTGGAGCAGTTTGAATTTTAATTTAGATTGGGCAGTCTTAAAGAACACCTGAGACCACAGCACTTTCTGGATGAAATCTTATTTCTTACTTAAACATCATTACCAATTAATCTTTGTAATGGTGACGCGATGTGTTTTCTTTAGAGGCGCAAACCGAATCTTTACTTGACATTTCTGATTTAAACGACGTCTATTCTACTGACTCAACTGTTGTGTGCGTCTGTGTTAATACGAAGCGTCTGCCAACAACAGTGGTTTTATTACGCGTAATTCTGCGGATGGGTGACCACAACCACGAAACTAAAACACGGCTTCATGTGAAACCAAGGAAAACAGAGCAAAAAGGAAAAACTAATGGCGACTTAGCTCCTTTGTCACCGGATTGAATAATCCACGGAATTTTTTTAAAAAAAAACAACTCTCTCTCAGGCTACTTTAAACGTGGAGCTCTGTCTTAGTAAGAGTTTCAAATCGAAACCACAATAAAACTGATTAAAACGTTTTTATTAAGACACTTACGAGTTTAAAATCACGCTTAGTTTAAATGTAATGAGCTTCATATTGTATCTACTTTACATAGAAAATTATCAGGGTGACCAAATCAAAGCAAGCTGAAAGAGGCTGGAAAAAAGATTTGAGAATTTTAGTCGGGAGATCAGAAGGGAAGAGACTGAGTGTGGGTGGGAGGTTAGTGTCAAAATAAATAGTGAAATTAGGACATAAACATTCTGGTTCCGTAAAAGGTGTGCTTGAATCTCTTGGCTGGTTGGAGAATGTTCGATGGAATAAGTTGATTCCATTTAGAAAGACCATACGCCACATTCTTGTTGCTGTACAACATAAAACGTCGAAACTACAAGTACCATAAAAGTATTCGCCCTTAGCTCCGTCCGTTTTGGAGGTTAACGGATCAAACTCAACGGGTTTCAAAACATCTACCACCACTACAGTCATTTACAAGTCACCGTACACAAATCACGTGTTGTTTTAATCATTCATGATTTCTCGTAATCGAACTTGGACATTTCACGCCGTTTGATGTCTTATTTGTCAACTGATTTATACCAGACACGGCCCTGAATAGCGACAGTGCTGCTCCCACGTCAATAATTGGAACGACCGCCCCGTCGATGTAGCAATGACGTCGAGTACGTGTTCGCACGGGAAGACGTACGGAGTCATTACGTCAATTTCGAAATCAGTGAAACAGTTTCCATGACGTCGATTAAGGCGAAGTAACCACGATGACACACAAACAGTAAAATTTATAATGGGGCCGAATACCCAACGTTATGTCCAAATGAAAGTTCAATCTTACCCGTAGTTTGCCACAGCGTCTGTCCGGAGGAAGAAGGAGACAGGAACCGCAGACCAGCCTCTACGCAAGGTCGTATCATAACGCTAATTATCAAGTAAATGAGAGTCTGTGTCGTGCCATGCCTTGTTTCCTTCGCTCTGAAATGAGATTATGTTTAAATCTGAAACTTTTGTAAAACTCCGAATCAGAGAGAAGTTAATTTGATTTCTGAGCATTGCGAAAAAAGTTGTAACATCATTGTGCCCTCACTCTGTGTTCATGCGCGGGGAGTCAAGGAGATCGTCCACCTCCTTACCTCGTCCCACTACGAAAGCACGAGGAGGCGGGGGGCGAGAGTTGTACATACGGAGAGGGTAAATTACTTCCAAGCCGACATTTTACATCGACGTTGTTCCAGCTACTGTTTACCGTAACGCAATTATAGCCCCCTCTCTCTCAGTGCTGCTAACACAGGTCAGAGAGGGCGAGAAAGCTCAGGGGCGACTCATCTCAGTCGGCCCGGGCAAGTATTCCGCCCCAACGCCATGATCGCATCTTAACGCTGAACTCCGTCCCTTGCTTGCGTTAACAGAAGGCGCAGGCCTCGTGGGGGTCTCTGACTTGAAGCACAGCCACCTTTACGGAGTCAAATTTCCCTTTTATATGTTTCCCGCACTCTGCTGTAAAACACTGCATTTCTTGTATGAGACGAAGTTTTTTGTTTTTTGAATTTTTTTTTATAATTCCCTTAAGGGCGAGCTTATTTTTTTACGACTGCAATAGCCCCGTTTGCTAAATCCAACAACCGCCTCTTGATTGCTTGTGTTCTAGGCGTAAAACAGTCGATTATGCTCCAGAACACTGCAAATTGTTTTAATGTTTTTACCAAGTGTTTTTAGTAGAAATTATTAATGATGATTTTGAAAAGGATGGAACTTGGCGAGTATTAGAAGCAAAGTAGAGGAAATTCTCTTGAATGTATTAAAATAAAAAGTTTCTTGCGTATTATCCATCATCTAATAAAATAATGTCCATGTAACACGTATTAAAAACAAAATGTATTTCGGGAATATCTGCTGCATTTTGTACCTCACGGGCAAGGTTTGTCCCAGGTACACAGAAGTAAATACCCTATAAAGTGGTGAATAGATGGAATAATAGTATTACTAATGAAACAGAGCGCCACTGTTTATATACACGCATTTCCCCAATCCATGAACATCCTTCACTCTGATGATATACAGATTCTACAGGTGATACAGCATGTTAATAGAGTACCAACCGATAATGGCTTCTACAAGGTGTCACGTGATATTTCCTCCAATGAATCACATCGATATCAGAATTACTCCAGACTGAACGTTATCGATTCAGCGGTGAGACTGGCGTGCTATTGTACTTTTACGTACACAGCACTGTTTCGGAGGAACATACTGCGTCCATCCTCAGGAGAGAAGTGTTCAGCCTCGAAGATTAAGGCTGAGGAGGGAGAACCCACACGAGTGGGAAGAGGGGGCAGGAAGGCAAATGATCCGAAAGGACATTTTACTTCATCCGTCTGCAGAGACGAGACAATGTAAACCAAGTACGTGCAACCGAGCGAAGGCGTGTTAGTTATCCGCGCGTGTTATTCAGACAGTGGCGCCACTACGTCAAAAACAATTGAGTTAACTGGCACGGACGCGACTAGACACAGAACATCGAAAATTCTACGGCCCGAACAAACTCGAAAACTCACAGAGAATTGAACTTGTCCGTTTTAAGTTTCTCCTTCGTCTGCCCGTGAAGGTTCGTAACTCTTTATTTATCTATACGTACCTTCCTTTCACGTCTTTACCTCTGCCCTCTCATGTGTCCTGTTTCATCAAGTGATTTTTAACTGCGAGGTAGGAGGTAAAGACACGTGACGTTACGACTACGTTACTACTTCGCCAGTGCAAAGTGAACTGCAGAAAACCGATAAATGATTGATACTACGAAGAAAGAAAGAAAGAAAGAGAATGTCTGAATTTAGACGAAATGAACATTTACCTTGAGGAGTGTCGACATCCAACAATAATATAATCACTAGGACAACAACAAAATATTTAAACTTCATGAAATCGTAAGTTCAAAAACAACGTAACGGGAAACACTAGAAAACAGACTTAAAGGCCGGAGACAGTCACTCACCTGGTTTAAAAATCCACGGCCTTTTTAACGGAGCCCAGCGATTCGATGCCACGCGACATAGCAGCCTGTCACAATATCAGTAAGAGTACGCTGTACCAAGTCCACGCGCTCACATTACATTCAATTTTAATATTATCCTCTCATCTACGTGCAGTCTCACAAGTAGGTTGCTCCGAAAACGTTTCCCAACTAAAACGTGCGCATTTTACATGCCACGTTGTTGTGTGCTACACGTCCTGCCCATCTAATCCTTAGCCTGATCGGCGTATGATGATGATTTCCTTCTTTGTTACTCGTCTCTTTTAGATGTGAGTGTCTTAGAGTGAGATACAGATAAATATATATCTTATTAATGCTGTTAATAACACTATTCGATTCTTTAATTTTTAATTATTATAATAACATCACGTTTCTAATTTCACAATCAATACATGATATAAAAACATTCTCCGTCATTTCCAAAGTGCATAAATATAAAACACAAGTTTCATCTTTATTATGTTGTGTACTTAAACCAATAATAAATAACTACTTACATATTCAAATGTTTGCTGCTTCTCGCTTGAACGTTTCTGGCCAACTTCTTACCTGCAAAAGACAATCACAATCATCAGGACAAAGTTTAACCTGTCAGGGACTTACTGTTTGTTGATTGCAAGCTTCGTGAATTATTAATCTATTCGTGTCAGGCGCCGGACGTTAAAGAAATCCCAATGACGGGCAACGACAGGGCATATTCGGCGTTTAGTGAGACATTTCTCAGAGTAACGTAACGTAATGCAATGTAATGCAAAAAAAAAAACAGCAGGGACTCTGTGGAGGTCGGACTGGACACTGAAAGAACCCGCTTCTATGTGTACTTTCTTTATCCCCTTAAAGCCCAGTGGTAATTTTATATACCACCTGTTTTAACATTCTGTAACTCTGCAGTTTGCCCACAGATATTGTTTATAGGATTCGTATGATTCTCAGAGTGAAGAGCGATTATTTCCTTAAACAGCGTTAACAAATTGATCTTTTTAATTTCGAAGTGTTGTTTTCTTTGAGGTAAGGAATGAATTCTTGAATATTATTTAGATAAAATTTGGCCTTAAAGTTTCCCTCTGTCATAAGCAAATGCTGAGTTCGCAAGTTTAAACTTGCTACTGCATCCTTTCATAAAGCTCTCCCGACTTCAGTTCATCAAAATGTCTCCCCTCTCCCCTTTAGAATTACTCACTTACCTAACTTTACAAATTATAGCTGCAACATTCAAACAACAAGCAAATCAAAACTCCGCCGTCTAGCAAGCAGTCACTAATTATCAATTACTTCATCCATACCAGAAGGACGAGTGGACATTGCCTGGGAACCTTCTATTAGGTGGTCTTTCTCCCCCCTCCAGAAAATAAATATCTCTACAAACAACCTTGCCAAAAAAAATTGCATTTAAATACAAGGTGTTCAAAGGATGAACGCTTAAATATCACGTGGTACATATAAATGTGGCTCTAGATAAGCAACAAAGCTTTAGACGAAAAGAGGGCTAAGTGGTCTGGAAAAAAAAACAGGGTTACGTACGTTTCAAGTTAAGATCAGACGTTTCAAACTGTCTGCCTCTGCAACATTGTACAGTAATCGATCAGACAAGCTATTAAATCTGTGGGACAGAACCGCTCAGATAGCCTAAAATTGCAACCCATATCTTCAGTACGTTGTACATAGGACCACACTGAGTCCAGCCATACCTCGTACCTTCTTAGGAACCATTTTAGTATTATCCTCCCGTCTAATATTAGGTTTTTAAGTGGCGTCTCCTTTTCAGGTGTTCCGACTAAAACTTTATACTCATTTATCGTGTCTCTTACTCTGTACCGCCACACCCTCATTTAATAACTAACTAGGCACGTCCTCAGGTAAGGAGTAGAGGTCGGCCGATAAGGGGTGGTCTTCCAGCTTGGGGGTTGGGCGTAGTGCTAGTAACCCTTCACCGTAAAAAAATATTTTATGTTACGAATACAATACTAATGCGAAGTGTGAATTATAAAATCCCTTATTCTGCAGTAATTTCCCAGTCTCGCCTTACGATTAACCTCTCGGTTATAAATTTCATCTTCAGAATCCTTGTATCAAACACCGTCAATCACAAAAGTCTAGGAGAAACGGATGAATTTGACTCGAGTTGATAACTCCGTACAAATTAGTTTCAGTGCACACTTCCGCTCTTACACGGAAGCTGTAAGACACTGAACAAAACTTAATTTCGATGGTACGCATTCTGCGTGCAGCAGTTTAAAAGCAACGCACACACGAAATACGTATCATGAAAGAGCCAAAAGCCCTCCGGCTATAAATTTCTGGAGACCGTTTCACGATTTAGAATACAGGTTAAATAAATCATAAATACTGGCCTGATATTCAAAAAATAAAACCTAATGGAGATAAAGCAGAGAGGGCAAGGAAGCATATATATATATATATATATATATATATATATATATATGTTTGTAATAAAATGAAGTTTCGTATTCACAGTCCGCAGCATCCCCTCTCCCCTCCACCCCGGGTCATTAGTAGACGGGGATTAGCTAGTTCCCACCATCATTACTGGCCACAACAATTAATTCCGAAGGTAATACATAAATTTCCATAGCAACATTATCATCAGCATATAAATCAAAACACTAAATAAAGTACGACGGTTTGATGCTAGGGTTCGATCCCCGACAGGAGCAAAGGATTCTCTGCGTCCAGATTCGGCTCTAGGGCCTACCTAGACCCTTGTCCAATGGGTACCGGGGTCCTTTCCCTGGGGACAAACCGCGGCCGAGGCCTGACGCTGACCACTAACCCCATCTAGTGCCGAGGTCAAGAATTAGTAGGAGCTATACCTGCTCTCCCCCTCAGCGCGCACATGGCGCGTAGCAGGAGAGCATAACTTTGTTTACATTTCTGCGACAGGTGAGTGATGAGGCCTTTCGAAACGTCTGCTCTCACAAGAAAATATTACGATGACCACGTCAGGGGAAATCGATGGGTAATGCATGTTGCACGAACGGAGAGATACAAAAATACATTTTAGCCGAAAATCCCAGCGGAAGACGCCAGTAGGAAGACCTAGGTGGTAGATTGGAAAACGATAATATTAAAATGGATCTTGAAACAGCGTTACAGTGTGGATTGCCCTCACCTAGCTCAGTGGAAAGTTATACTTCGCATTCAGCAGCGAATTGATTGCAGTTATGATTGTGTTTAACGTCCACTCCAGCGGCTTATGGTTCACAACGAAGATACTGTTTCGTGCAGCAGATCCATTTATCTGCTTCGGTTGAACCTCACTGAACGCACACAGCATCGCGTGCTTGAACACCGCGTCTTCCAAACTGAAGCGACCTTAAACTCTAAGCAGGTCTGCACCGTTTTACAGAGCCGTTTCGGAATTTACCTCTAGACAATAAGAACGATGGTAATGATATTACTATTATTAAGTAACAACAGCCCCGAGCCAGTTCTAGCCATCCGCTATCATCACAAACTACCTGTCTATTATGGATTTTTATGTTCTTCTAAAGTGTCCTTATCGGCCTCCAAAGAAAATGTTTTCCAAGCGTTGCCCCGTTCAAATTCTGAATGCATTATCTCCACAATCCCCCCTTCACCCCCTCAGATTAAAATGCCTTAACAACACTACGTCCCTCGTTATTTAATTTCTTAAATTCCCATCATCCTTCTTTGGTCCATATGTTTTTTTTTTTCTATTCTTGAGCACTTCAGAATATCTGCAAATGATGTGCTTTCCTTAAAATATGATATCACATTTATTCTCAAAAAAAAAATACAAGTGGCAATATTATTATTGCTATCGTCATTATAAATGAATTGAATTACAAATATTACTAGTAAATTTACTGCTCTGTTAATATAAAATGATAAAACACACATTTATACAGCCCCGGCCGCTCTGTACCCCCGGGAAAGGACCCCGGTACCCATTGGACAGGAGGCTGGGTGGGGTCCAGAGCCGGTCTGGACGCAGAGGCTAGAGGGAAATCCTCTGCCCCCTTCGGGGATCGAATCCCGGTCGTCCAGTCCTCAACCAGTCGCCATAATACTACAGACAAGCAACAGTTTGCAAAACATATTTTAAGGTCCTGTTGTCCTGTACCTGTTTAACTTTTAAAATTAAATCGTATCCAGGCAGTCCGTTGTTCTAACTACATTCTTATCTCCCTGCCTTATTAATTATCGTAATTTTAAAGTGCGGTGAAAATTTCAGGCCTCTGTCTTCTTGTCTGCATTCGGCAGATGCGTTTAATGGCGGATACATCACAAAATTCACTAAAATAATTAAACTGTTCCGCATTTTAACAGTTTTCTTAATTAGTTGTTAAAATATGGTTAAAGCAGGAGACACAGGAGAAACGTTCTGTTGAATGTTTCATGTGTTTAAAAGTCAGCAATTTAAATCTGTCGGTTCATTCTGACGGATTTGTCTTCTGCAAATAATTATTACGTTTTAACATTGAAATTACGATAACTGTTATGAACATTACAAGCTGTGCTTACACAATTACAACGCCTTATTGTCTCCTTGAAGCTCTGAGGTTAGATTAAGTTGTTCACTACGATTTATTATCACTGGGACCAACTGAAGCTGATTATGTTCTGAAATGCCTGTCGTGCTGTTCATAAGGATTACGCTCACTTCCTCTAAAGCTGGTTTTGACGGAAACCTGTTTTATTACTGACATTTTTAACTAACGGAATATATTTCCTCACCACAACAATATCGATTCGAACAGCAGTGTGGGAAACATCACAGTGAAACACTTCTCTCCAAACGTAAACAAAAAATATCCCTGTGTTATCCAAACTTCATAAAAGTCACTGAGTTTCATCTGTTGAAACGCACAATACAGGGCATGGCATTTACAAACAAAACAACATAATTTATTAAAATGAAACAAAATGTCGGATCTGAAGTAAATCTTATTTTACAAGGCACTGAAACAGGGAATTAGAATATTCTATTAGTCAAGCATGGATGTTCGAGTCGTGGTGTTCAATGTTGTTAAATTATTTTATTGTACTGTTCTTAAGGACACAGTAGGTACCATATTCATACAGAACAGAAAATTTATAGTATAGAAGCACACATATGGAACGTTACAGCAAAATCTTTGGCACTCCTTCTTAGCATTCGGGAAATACACGGTTCAAACCTCAGCCCGGACTAAGGGCTTCTCGTGGTTTTATCCAGTGCCTCCTGGTACATACTGGGATAGTACTTTAAACAGGGTCATGACCAATTCCTTCCTCGTCCTTTCCAATTGAATATTTACCGAGTGCTTACCTCGTCTGACGTCATACAGCGTGATTTATTAACGGCGTCGTTAAACAAGCCACGGATAATATGTAGGATAGCACTGTAAACGAAAAGTTTCAGCCCAACTTTCGAAACGCCAGTGACTCAGTGGAAACAAAGCTGTCTCTCAGAACATCACATAAGAAGAGTTTTCCGAATCAGCGTGAGTTATTACACGTTTTCATTGCATTACATGTGCTCCATTTTCCACGTGCGTCTCCTAAAAACGTTTAAAATAACGACA